CACTGTATCAAGTCACTCCTCTTTTCCAGATGCCAAACGCCTTATTGGCCGCCGTTATGATGATCCTGTGGTCCATTCTGACATGAAGCACTGGCCATTCCATGTGATCAATGATGGGGGTCGTCCCAAAGTACAGGTGGAGTACAAAGGCGAGACAAAAACCTTCTATGCTGAAGAGATCTCCTCGATGGTTCTCACCAAGATGAAGGAAATTGCAGAGGCCTACTTGGGCAAGGTGGGTAGTAGTTGATGATGGTAGGTGTCAAAATAGTGGTTCTCTAGATGTCTTGGACTCTTCATTCCACAGTCCCTGCCCATTAGGTGTGTTGACTTGGTCTTCTGGAAGTCCAAAAACATCTAGCGAACTGAAGGTTGAGTGGGAAACATTGGGGTAAAGGGAAGCAATGGGATTGAAGCATGGATAACATGGATTGAGTATAGGCCTTTCTAATTCCTTCTTTCCATTATAGACTATTACCAATGCAGTCATTACAGTCCCAGCTTACTTCAACGATTCCCAAAGACAGGCCACCAAGGATGCTGGAACCATTGCAGGCCTCAATGTCCTTCGCATCATCAATGAACCCACAGCAGCTGCCATAGCCTATGGGCTGGATAAAAAGGTCAGGAAGAATTATTTATTTTTGTTTTTTAAAAAATGTGGCTAGCCTTAAGAGGAGATGTGAGATTTTACACCTGGATGAGGAAAGCTTGGCTCTCAAGACATTGTACTTAAGCTCCTATCCATCCTAATCAACATGGCTGGTGGTGAGGGCTGCTGGGAGTTGCAGTCCAATATTTGGAAGGGCTTATAGTTTGCCTGCCCTGACTCTCTACACACTGTGTTCATGAGGAACTGCAGGATCTCAAAAGTTCCAGTACTTTGGAAAAACAGTTGTTTCCAAGTTTCTTCTGGAGAACATCTTGATAAGTAAATCAAAGTTCAGATTTGTAATAGCCATGTTTAGCTTCTTTCTGTGCATGTGGAATGGTTTGTGTTCAGATATTTTGGATTTCACCTGTTTATAAGTCCCAACCAGGTTGGTCAATAGTAAGGGATTACGGAAGTTGTAGTTGAAAGCATTTGTAGCATACTGCCCAGTACTTGGGCCCTTCCTATGTGGTTTGACCACTGATTCCATAATTCATCATCATTAGTCCTACCTGGTAGAGTTGGTGGGACTGGCTATCCAACTCATTCTCTGCCTGTAGTATATATAATCTTGCATTGGTAATCTTTGGTACAGGACATGGAAACCCCTCTGAAGAGGGTGCATCTTACACTGTTGGGCTATCACATTTACAGGTGGGTGGCGAACGCAATGTCCTCATCTTTGACTTGGGAGGTGGCACCTTCGATGTCTCCATTCTAACCATTGAAGATGGCATCTTTGAGGTTAAATCAACTGCTGGGGACACTCACCTGGGTGGTGAGGATTTCGATAACCGCATGGTGAACCACTTTGTGTCAGAATTCAAGCGAAAGCACAAGAAGGACATCACAGATAACAAGAGGGCAGTCCGGCGTCTGCGCACAGCTTGTGAGCGGGCCAAGCGTACTCTCAGCTCCTCCACCCAAGCTTCCATTGAGATAGACTCCCTCTATGAGGGTATCGACTTCTACACCTCCATCACCCGAGCTCGCTTTGAGGAATTGAATGCTGACCTCTTCAGGGGCACCTTGGAGCCCGTAGAGAAAGCCCTGCGTGATGCCAAGCTGGACAAGTCTCAGGTGCATGATATTGTGCTGGTTGGTGGCTCAACCCGTATTCCCAAGATCCAGAAGCTTCTTCAGGACTTCTTCAATGGCAGGGAGCTCAACAAGAGCATCAACCCTGATGAAGCAGTAGCTTATGGAGCAGGTAAAGAGCCTTCACCAAAAGGGGAGAGCTGTCAGGGCCAGGTTGGGGCATTAGGCTACAACTCACAGCATTCTTCGTCAGTGGCTGGGACTGCTAGGATTTGCAGTCAAATATTTGGAGTGCTGAATGATTCCTACCCATTAACTATGGGGTTTGTGGAATAGAAGGGAGAAGCAAGTAGATAGATTCAGGAAAACAGATTATCCGTTCTGCAGGAAGAGGTGATTTCTGAATGTACATGATAAATAGACAGCAATGATTGATAACCGTTCCAAAGCAGCCTACAAAGAATACCAAATAGTTGTGGTGGCTATATATCAGGGGTGGGCAACAGTGGGGTAATCATTAGTCCCTCCAGATCACCTCCCCAGAGTGTGACTTGGGCAAGTCACACTTTATCATCCTCAGAGGATGGCAATGGCAAACCCCCTCTGAACAAATCTTGCCAAGAAAACCCCATGATAGGTTTGCCTTAGGGTTGCCATAAGACGAAAGCAACTTAAAGGCACCCTGCAACAATTGCCTGACCTACCTCTTCTTTCCTGAGATCCTTCTGGCAGCTTGTAACCTAAGTGCAAAATTCATGCTTTGTGTTCAGACCAGTGCTTGGCAAAAAATGTTGAGGACTGCAGCTCCCAGAGCACCAACCAGCATGGTCAGAGGAAATAAATTCTTCTCTGCTAGATAGCCTAGTGCCTATTTGGTATCTTACTTGAAAATCTCTGGGGGCAAGTTTGGGCAAGGCGGGGGTTTTCTTCTAGGGTCCTTGCCTGATGGGCATGGTAGCCTCTTGACCCAGTTTCATTACTCCTCTAGCTGTCCAGGCTGCCATCCTGTGTGGGGACAAGTCAGAGAATGTGCAGGACCTGTTGCTGTTGGATGTCACACCACTGTCGCTGGGTATCGAGACGGCCGGTGGGGTGATGACAGCTCTCATCAAGCGAAACACCACCATCCCCACCAAGCAGACTCAGACCTTCACTACTTACTCTGACAACCAACCAGGAGTGCTCATTCAAGTAAGTGGAAGCAGAGTTCAGTAGAGCTGGGATAGTAATGCAGTAGATCTTGATAACACTATGCTTCATGGAAGGATTAGCCGGTTTAAACCATGGTTTACACCAAATGATATTTTTTTTAAAAAAAAATCCCCTCGAGTTTTTGGTTATTACTATTTCCCAACCTTCTTCCTGGAGCAACAATGACTGTTTGAATTTAAACATTTTAAATTTGTTTTTTATTGGCAGTTGTTCAATGTTAGTCCTATATTGGTGTAGTCCTATATATAGGCTACTAAGCTGTCAATATAATTCCCAAAGTTTTATTGAAAGAGGAAGATCATATCAATTGAAATTATTGAAAGATGTAGATTGTACCTTTCTATTGTTAATATTAAAAAGCATTAAAAACGTGGTTGATCAAGCTTTCTGAGACATAAAATAGTGTTTTATATAATATATCAATATAATGATGTAATAAGCAGGATTTACATTTTTTTCATTAGAACATTAGAACAGTTTTGGTTTTTTTTTAAGACAATTTAAACCAAAGAACCAAAGAAACTTAGGTTTGGGTTGTTTGTTTGTTTGTTTGTTTGTTTTTAAATCTCTAATCCTGTTTTGTGGATAGCTTTAAGAACCTGGAATTGTAGTACATATTCAAGGAGATTTATTTTTGTTGTTGGTTGCAGAATGATACATGTGTGTATGGTCCAAGAAAATATTTATTACAGTTGATGGTATAAATCAGGCATTGCTAACCCTGTTTGCCTGGGAAATGGCAGTAAATAGGCTTGAGTGTTTAGTACAACATTTCATACATATTTGGAATTCTACACTCTTTCCAAATATAACAGGCATCTTGAATTTCTTGTGTGCATTTTTGTATGGCCAAAGTAGGAACCACAATCCCTTGGGCTGAATTGGTCCTCCACATTTCCTCAAGAGGGGTTACACTAGCTTCCCATAATTCTGACTTGCCAGGTTGTGTACAAGTTTTCTCCCCTTCGAAAATGCTGCAATACCTTTCTTCAGGCTTGGT